GAAACCTTGTTGCCTACTAAAAATAGAAAAATTAGCTGGGCATGGGTGGTGTGTGCCTGTAATCGCAGGTACTTGAGAGGCTGAGGCAGAGAATCACTTGAACCTGGGAGGCGGAGGTTTGCGGTGAGCCAAGATCATGCCACTGCACTCAGCCTGGGCAGCAGAGTGAGACTCTGTTTCAAAAAAGAAACAAAAGAAAACACTCCTATACAATATCTGTTTGTTTGTGAAGATTAAAAATGACAATATATGTTCGGCACTATTAACCCAGTGTCCAGCCACATAGCAAATCCTCAGTTAATGAGATAACAGGTGCTTCCCTGCCTCAGGACCCTTGCACTTGCAGCCCTTCTTCCTGTATCTCTGCTGGGGCTCTTTGGTTCTTTGCTGGACTGGTTCTTTTCATCACTCGGGTCTCAGTTCAAGTGGTACTTCTTCAAAGAGGCCTTCCCTGTGCCCCCCGGTGCTTCAAAAATATATATATTATTATTTAAAAAAAATATATCGGCCAGGCGCAGTGGCTCAATTAATGGCTAAGAGCTCAAGTCATCCTGTCTCAGTTCCAAACCAGGCAAAACCCAGGCACAGTGGTGCATGCCTATGGTCCCAGGTCCTTGGGAGGCTGAGATAGAAGGATCGCTTGAGCCCAGGAGTTCAAGGCTGCAGTGCACCATGATTATGCCTAGGAATAGCCACTGTGCTCCAGCCTGGGCAACACAACAAGACCTTGTCTTTAAAAGAAAATTGGTTTTAGAAAGGAACCCAGGGCAGTTCTAACTCCTGAACTGTTCTCATTCTGCCCATGCCTCTCCTCTCTCTCTGTCTCTCTCTTTCTCTTTCTCTCTCTCTCTCTCTCTCTCTCTCTCTAACTTCTATGTGCCTTTGGGTGTCTTTCACTGCTGCAGGGACTCAAAAAAAGAGTTCAGGGACCCAAGAGACCCACTTTCTCAGTGGCTGATTCCCAGGCCCATCTCACCAGGCTGTGACTTCCTGTTTGCTGTGGGCAAACCCCAGGGACCCTCCCACAGGTGGCAGGGCCACTTCCCTTTGGCCAGTTGAGGGGGCTGGGGGGCGGAAGAGTGAAGCACTGGGGAATGAAGGGGGCAGTAGCAGGACTCAATCTGCCTCTCATCAACAAAATCTCTAATCCCCTCATTAGCTACCCCAGCTGCCCAGACTAGCTTTCACTAGAGCATGTCATTCCCCCTGCTTAAAACATGTCAGTTACGGCCCGGGCGCGGGTGGCTCAGCCTGTAATCCCAGCATTTGGGAGGCGACGACGGGCGGATCACGAGTCAGGAGATCGAGGGACCATCCTGGCTAACCCGTGAAACCCGTCTCTACTAAAAAATACAAAAAACTAGCCGGGCGGAGTGGCGGCGCTGCAGTCCCAGCTACTCGGGAGGCTGAGGCAGCGAGAATGGCGTAAACCCGGGCGAGGCGAGCTTGCAGTGAGCTGAGATATCGGCCACTGCACTTCAGCCTGGGCGACGGAGCGAGACTCCGTCTCAAAAAAAAAAAAAAAAAAAAACAATGTCAGTTACAGCCAGACACAGAGGTCAAGCTGTAATCCACACACTTTAGGAGACCAGCAAGAGATCCCTGAGGACCAGAATTTGAGACAGCCTGTGCGACAACAGCGGAGCCCCATTCTACAGAAATTTTTTTTTTTTTTTTTTTTTTGAGACGAGTCTCTGCTCTGTTGCCTGGGCTGGAGTGCAGTGGCCGGCTCTAAGCTCACTGGCAAGCTCCGCCTCCGAGTTTACACCATTCTCCTGCCTCAGCCTCCCTGAGTAGCTGGGACTACAGGCCGCCGCCCACGCGCCGGGTAATGTTTTTGTATTTTTTTTTAACAGAGGACGGGTTTCTCCACTGTGGTCTCGATCTCCTGACCCTTGGGTGATCCGCCCAGCCTCTCGGCCCACCAAAGTGCCTGGGCATTGTACCAGGCGTGAGCCACCGCGCACGCCAGAATTTTTTAAAACAATACAAACAATGTCAGTTACTCTTCATCTACCCTAAAATAAAAATCCCAACCCCAAGGCCTAGTAGGCCGAGTGGTTGCTGGCACCTACCTACATTTCCACCTCATGCTCACCACTCTCCCCCTTGCCAAAGTGCTCATCCCTGCCTCAGGACCCTTGCACTTGCAGCCCTTCTTCCTGCATCTCTGCTGGGGCCTCTTGGTTCTTTGCTGGACTGGTTCTTTTCATCACTCGGCGTCTCAGTTCAAGTGGTATTCTTCAAAGAGGCCTTCCCTGTGCCCCCCGGTGCTTCAAAAATATTATATTATTATTTTTAAAAAATATCGGCAGGCGCAGTGGCTCAGCCTGTAATCCTCAAGCACTCTTGGGGAGGCTGAGATGGGCGGCGATCACGAGGTTCAGGAGACTGATGGAGCCGATCCTGGCTCACACGGTGAATCTCGTCTCTTACTTAAAAATTACAAACAATTAGCCGGCACGGGGGCGGCCGCCTGTAGTGCCCAGCTACTCGGGAGGCTGAGGCAGGAGAATGGCGTCAACCTTGGGAGGCGGACTTGCAGTGAGCTGAGATCCAGCACTGCACTGCAGCCCCTAGGCACACAGCGAGACTCCGTCCTCAAAAAAAAAAAAAAAAAAAAAAAAAATCTCAGGCTGGGGAGGGTGACTACACCTCCCAAGCAACTTTTATGGGGTCAAGGCAGGCAGATTGGCTTGTGCTCAGGAGTCTGAGACCAGCCTGGCAATTATGGCAAACCTATTTCTACCAAAAATACACAAAATTAGCCAGGTGTGGTGGCGCAATGGCCTGTTGTCCCAGCTACTTGGGAGGCTGAGGTGGGAGGATCGCGGACTGGAGGTTACACGGTGAGCTGGAGATGGCACCACTGCCTTCTAGGGCCTGGCAACAAAGCCTCTCTCCTCTTAGATAGCATAGGAAATAGATAGATACGATAGACTACCCGATACCGATAGATAGATAGAATACGATAGATAGATATTATATTTCTGGACTGGGTGCGGGTCGGCTCACGCCTGTAATCCCGCATTGGAGACTTTGGGCGCCCAGGTGGGCGGATCACTTGAGCGGAGTTCAAGTCAGACCGCCTGGGCAAAAAATGGGAGGAAAATCCGTCATCTACTAAAAATCACACAAAAAATGTATTTGGGCATGATGGCATCCCTGGTAGTCCAGACTCTACTCAGGGAGCTGAGGTGAGGAGGATCGCTTTGAGCCCAGGAGTTCAAGTCTATCTGGGGAACCATGGATAAAACCCCATTCTACAGAAAATACAAAAAAAAAGACCAGGCACAGTGGTTCCATGCCTGTAATCCCAGCACTTTTGGGAGCTGGAAGCGGGCGGGATCACTTGAGGTCAGGAGAACGAGACCAGCCTGGCCAACATGGTGAAACTCAGTATCTACTAAAAATACAAAAAAAA